AAACGTCAAATTTCCTCCAAACGTGTTTTTGCCACCCTGGGTTGACTCCTCCTGCTCAGCATCGATCTGTTTCTCCAAACATCACATTTCAAACACACAGCCTTCTGATCCAGAGTCATGGGTTCATGCCCATCTGCCACAACGTTCTAGCAACACGAAAGCATACTTGAAAGTGGTCGGTTTTGAAGGCATTTCCCAACGTCCTCAGAATATGGATAGACGTCAATTTCGAAGTCACTCTTGAGCGATATGCCTGCACATAACGCCAAAAGACTCACAACACATAACATCTCTTATATATGTATATATATCTGTATCGCTCTATTGCTCTATATAATCTCTATCTCTCTCTCTCTGTCTCTCTCTCTCGTATTCTCTCTCTCTCTGTCTCTCTCTCTCTTTCCTCTCTCTATCTCTATCTATCTCTCTATTATATCTATCTATATCTATATATATCTCCTCTGTCTCTTTGTATTATATATCTATATGTATATATAGATCATATATATTCAGACTCTATATCTGTCTCTCTCTTTTACTCTATATGTCTCTATATGTCCTCTCTCTATATGGTCTATCTCTAGGCTCTCTCTACTGCTATCTCTCTCTTACTCTCTCTCTTCTCTATCTCTCTCTCTCATAGCTCGCTCCTCTCTGTCTCTATCTCTCTGTATCGATATACTCTGTCTATCTCTCTCTCTCTCTCTCTCTCTCTTTTATTGCTTTTAATCCTATTCGATGTTTCTATGTATCCTAAGTTTCTACTCCTTTGTCCTCTTTGTTAACCCTATGCAATCAAGTTCTGTCTTGTCATCTATTATGTGGAAGTCTCATAATCTCTTCCTTCAGACAGTAATGACACTATCAATATCAGCACTGTTCAAAGACAGAGATAAATATTGACTGCCTGACTCTCTGCCTGCCTGACTCTCTTCCTGCCTGACTGATGCCTGACTGCCTGACTGATGCCTGACTGCCTGACTGATGCCTGACTGACTGATGCCTGACTGACTGATGCCTTACTGACTGATGCCTGACTGACTGATGCCTTATTCTACTGATTGCCGACCTGATGCCTGACTGCCTGACTGCTCGCCTGGACTGACTGAGATTGCCTGACTGACTGTGCATTCTGACGCTCCTGACTGATGCCTGCTGACTGCTGGCCGACTGATGATGCCCTAAATGACTGATGCATCTGACGACTGATGCCTGAACAACATGAAGATGCCTTATTGATGACTTTATTTGAATGGGAAAAGTTTGCGGTTTGACACTATATTACTTTCTTTGTTTTTGTGTGTATTTTTCTATTGACCAATGCAATCATCTCTATCTCTGGAGAGTAGCAGATAGATACATGTTGATTAGTCTGACTGATCTGGAATTAATGATTGATTGATCATTTAGGGGAGTTCTTTTTTACTTTGTGTTATATTTAACCTCCAGACATCCCTAAATCATGATTGTAAATAAATAAAATATTTGAATAATATAACTACTTAGGGGATTGTAAAATCCATACAAAACAGCTCTATCCAATCATCGCTCCCTAGATACTCAATAAATAAATATATATATCTATATCTAGCTAATCTATATATATCTCTCTATCTATCTTCGCTCACTCCCTACACCTCCTCCCTCTATCTCTCTCTCTATATCTCTCTATCTCTCTCTCTCTACTCTCTGTATCTCTCTCTCACTCTCTCTCTCTCTCTCGCTCTCTCTCTATCTCTCTCTCCTCTCTCCCCAATTTTTTTTTTTTTTTCAATTTAAGGGATTATTGGCATGGAAACCGTGTGTAACATTGCCAAAGCAAGTGAAGTGATAGCAAACAAAAAGTGAAATAAACAATAAATATTAACAGTAAAACATTACACTCAGAAGTTTCAAAAGAATAAATAAAGACATGTCCAAATGTCATATATGTATAATACAGTGTTTAACAATGTGCAAAATAGGTTAACGTACAAATGGGAAATAAATAAACATAAATATGGTTGTATTTACAATGGTGTTTGTTCTTCACTGGTGCCCTTTTCTTTGTGCAAACAAGGTAACAAATTTGCAGCTGTTGATGGCACACTGTGGTTTTTCACCTAGTAGATAAGGGAAAGTTTATCAAAATTTGGTTTGGTTTTCGAATGCTTTGTGGGATCGCTGTAATCTGGCGGGAAATATGTGCTCTAATAGGGTCAACATTTGGCAGGAGGTTAGGAAGTCAGCTCAGTTTCCACCTCATTTTTGTGGGCAGTGTGCCACAGAGCTGTCTTCTCTGAGAGCAGGTCTGCCTACGGAGGCCTTCTCATCGCAAGGCTATGCTCCACTGAGTCTGTACATAGTCAAAGCTTCCTTAAGTTGGGGAGTCAGTCCAGTGGTCAGGTATTCGGCCACTGGGTACTCTCTGTTTTAGTGGCCAAATAGCATTAAGTTTGCTCTGTTTTTTGTGTGTTCTTTCCAATGTGTCAAGTAATACTCTTTTGTTTTTCTCATGATGGGTTGGGTCTAATTGTGTTGTTGGTGTTGTTGTTGTGTCCTGGGGCTGTGTGGGGGTCTGTTTGTGTTGTGAACAGAGGCTCAGGAAAGCTTACTTAGGGGGATCTTCCCAAGTTCATGCTCTCTGTAGGTGATGGCTTTGTTATGGTAGGTTTGGGAATCGCTTCCTTTAAGTAGGTTTATAGAATTTAAAGGATCTTTTCTGCGATTTTGATAAATAGCGGGTATGGCCTAACATAAACTATTCTGCTCTGCATGCATTATTTGGCTTGTTTTTTACGTGTACACGGAGGAGGATGTTTTTGCAGAATTCGATTGCAGAGTCTCAAGTGGTGTTGCCCCATTTTTGTGAATCTGGGGGTGCGTGAGGAGGCCCCCAGACCTCCAGAACCATAAAGGGAAGGGTTCTAGAACTGATTTCAATATTTTAGCCAAATCCTAATTGGTATGTCAAATTTTGTATGTTCCTTTGATGGCATTAGTAAAGACCCTATGCATTTGTCTCTCAGATAATTCACAGCTTTGTGGAAGTTACCTGTGTCGCTGAGTGTTAGGCCGAGGATGTATAGTTTTAGGTGTGCTCTAGGACAAACGGTGTCTAGATGGAATTTGTATTGTGGCCTGGCAAACTTTTGGGAGGGGGGGAAACCTTTTTTGGATAACACCATTATTTTTGTCTTACTGAGATTTACTGTTCAGGGCCCAGGTCTGAACGAATCTGTGCAGAAGATCTAGGTGGCGCGGTAGGCCATCTTGGTTGGTGGACAGACAGCACCAGATTCATTCAGCAAAAAGAAGACATTTGACTTCGATTTAGTAGGGTGGAGGCCGGGGTGCTGCAGACTGTTCTAGTGCCCTCGCAAATTCGTTGATATATATGTGGAAGAGGGTGGGGGCTTTTAATTACTTCTAAAAACTGCATCCCTGTTCACACCCACGGCCATTTGTGAGAAGAAATGTGTGTTTTTCTGCCAATTTTACCCGACACACGTTGTTTGTGTACATGATTTTAAATGTTCGTATGTTTTTTTCCCCCCAAACCCCCACTTTCCATCCATTTGTATAGCAGACCCTCATGCCAAATGAGTCAAAAAGCCTTTTTTGAAAATCAACAAGCATGAGAAGACTTTGCCTTTGGTTTTGGTTTGTTTGTTTGTCAATTAGGGTGTGCAGGTGTGAATACGTGGGTCTCGTTGACGGGTTTACTTTGTTAAAGCCAACTTGGATCATTGCTCAGAAATTGTTTTCACTGAGGAAATGAAAATAGTTCTGCCTGTTAATGATTATGCAGAGGATTTTCCCAAGGTGCGTTGACGCCATACCAACGGTAAGTTATTGGGTTCAAATTGTCTCAACTTTTGTGGATTGGGGTGATTCAGCCATTGCGTTCCAAATATTGGGGAAGATGCCAGAGCTAAGATGATGTAAAGGTTTAAGCATAGCTAATTGAAATTGGTGGGTCTGTTATATTTTATAATTTCCTCTCGCTTCTCTCTCCTCTATCCCCATTGCCTCCTCCATCCCCTACCTTCCCCAGGTAGTGCCTTAGTTAGAATGGTAGTTCGTTTGACTATCAGTGAGTATGGGAGCGGTGACTAGAGGGCTGTACGCTCCCTTTGACTGCAATGCTACCATGAAGTAATCGGGTAATAAAGGGAAAAAAAAACACAAAAAATGACAAAAATCCAACCACCAAAAAAAAATATATAACATATAAAAAATAAAACCAAAAAATTTAAATACAAAGAGAATATAGAATTCACAAAACCAAAATAAAAAAAAAAAGAACAAACAGGTTTTTCTTGCGACCTCTTTTAGTAAATAAGAAACCCACACTCACTTCCCCCATTTTTTTTGTCATCCCCTGCGGTTATTTCACTCGCGTATATTAGCGAACATAAATCTGTTTCCATTTCCCTTCTCTCCTTTTTTTTCATATTTTAGGCTGAATTAACGATAAAATAACCCCCCACAAAACCACAGCCATCTTACCATTCCCCCTTATAAGACTCAACAACCTATTTGTACCACACCAAGGTATTTGTCGTTTTCTATTAGCACCCCCAAAAATAAGCTTATTCCCCTTAACCTAATGTAAAAAAACCGATTAACCAAAACCATTAAAATATATCCCAAAAACAAACATCAATTCAAAAACACCACAACACACCATTCTTAAAAAAAAATATTTTAAAAATAAACACAACACACACCCTAATCACAAACACACTAATACACATTCATTTTCACACACACACACTCATGACACACATCCCCCCACACGACAGCCACACATCCAAACACACAACATGTATGCACTATACACAGACCACTACACCATACAACACAACACCACCCACACCCACAAGAGAGAGAAGACTTTACAAACATCACACAAAATTCGCCCCCATGTCTCTCTCTCTCTCCGGTAATGCGATGTGTATGAGGAATGGATTCCAGGCGGGTCTCAATTAGAACCAACCTTCATCCAGGGCCCACAGTTATGGGGCCTGGGCAACAAGTTTAAACAAGTCAAGAAGTCCTACTCAGAGGCTAACAAACTACTGGGGGATCTGATCAAGGTAAGGAGAGATGAAGGGGAGAGGAAAGAGGGGAAGTTGCTGCCTTCATTCTCAATTCTATATAGCATGGATATAAGATGTGCTCTTGTAGATTTTACTGGGAGCTAACTGTAGGTGTTACACTGGGGAAACTCCAAGCTGACGCTGTCTGAAAATGACACCATAGTCTCAATTGAGTGTACTACTTCTGTGAAGTATACCAGGGGTTAACTGAGTGGGTGACAATGCCTGGGACCTTTGTAATGCATGTCTTTGTATTGATAGTGTTTGCCTCTGTAGTCTGTCTGGGGTCTAGTCTCTGTTTTTGTTTGTTCAATTTGTTTTCCACCATCCCTTAAAAAAGGGAGAATAGGGAGGGGGGAAGCGCTTAGAAAAAGAAGGAGGAGAAGAGGGGTCTAGAAGAGCATGAGAAGAATGAGAAGAGAGAGAAGAGAGAACAGGAAGAAGCAGAAGTCGTAGAGAGAATGAGAAGAGAAGCTCGAAGAGCAATGGTGCGAAGAGAAGTAGCAAGAAGAGACGAGGAAGAGACGCAGTAAGAGACCGAACATCGAAAGATGAAGAAATAGACATTCGAAGCTCATGACGAGAAGAGACTGATAATCTCTGTAATGATCCTCACTGCTTATCCTTCTTCCATCGCCGCCCTCACTCCCATCTCTTCCTCTATTTCTCCCAATTACGGCGATACTACCATCTCCCTCTCTCCCCATTGGCAATAAAGATCTATAATAGAACACAAGAAAGCAGAAGGAGAGAGAGAGAGAGAGAGAGAGAGAGAGAGAGAGAGGAGAGGGAGGAGAGGAGAGAGAGAGGAGAGGAGAGAGGGAGAGAGAGAGAGAAGAGAGAGAGCGCTTTAATGTGTTACTGTTATTTATCGACTCACCTAACTATGTTCAATTGTCACTCAATTAAATTAATCATTGAACAATTAACTCATTAGGAATTTGGGGCACCACGGAAGAAGTTGTTTAACGAGTTACCATCTCCCGAGTTAAACTCTTAGAAGATAACAGTCACTTATCAAATAATTACTTTTGATCAGTCTCGTTCTGAACGTCACATAATCCTTGAACCTGCAAGAACCCTAACCTTATGGATGAATCAGCAATACACAAATTGGCTTAATTATTTATTTACTAACTAACTAAAAAATTACACAATACAAACACACACAGGTTACTGATTACTAACGTAATACAATGAAAACAGGTCCCTAGTGGACTGGACTAACAATAGCATGAATGCTTGGGTAGAAGGAGGGTCAGAGTGGAAGGGAGAGACAGAGATTCAAACTATCGTAGTTACTTTGGAAACTACGCTCACAGTAATCATAATACTTATGCACCCTTTTTGTTCACTCGGGGAAAAAAGGGTAAACATGTTTGTGCTCATCTGGGCGTGGTCACTGACTGAGAACAAATCAATATGGAAAACAATCATCTCATCTAGAATGCTAAAATCACATTAGGTATTATTATACTTAATCATTTGTTTTATACAACCATTAGATGCAAACCTCATAACTGAGAAGTGTACCCCCCCCCCCCCCCCAGAGATACAGTAATGTTGTTCCACCATCTTTAATGACATCACAACATAGTAACGAATTTGACATGATTGTTCTTTAAGTCCCCACCAACCATTTCCCACATTCTTTTAAGTAGAAATATTGTTTCATTATCCACTTTTGGATGTTGGAGTCTTGGCGGGAAGACTTCCTTGTCTCACAATGAAATTCCCTCTCCCAACACTGCATGACACGGAAAATAAAGTTTCTGCAAGGAATTTACGACCGGTCATAAAACTGGCCCCAGGAAATGGGGTGCTCAAACCTTTGCCTAGCCGGAATCTTTGATCCTCAGCCCATGAGGGCAAGTCATGACAGAAGGTATAGCTGTCTTTACAGAATTCATTATATAGTATAGGGCTTTGGTTACTGTTTCAACTATAGGATGATGGGAATATGGGGAACTGATGAGTCACACACACACACACTAATATACACACATACACACACACACACACACAGTAGGGTACCAAGAGCCTCATCCCAAGAGCTTAGCTTCCTCTATTACCTAGATCCCTGAGGTCTCATCATTAACCCTGAGGTCCCATCATTAACTCTGAGGTTCGTGATAATTAACCTGAGGGTCCCATCATTAACAATGATAGGTCACCATCATTAAAAGGATCGGTCCCATCACGTAACCTGAGGTCTCATCAAACCCTGACGGTATCATCATTATACCTGATTTTTGGGTTTCCCATTCATTAAACATGGAGGTCTCGGATCACTTAACATGAAGTCCCATTCATTAAACATGATTGGTCCCATCATTAAACCTGAGTTCGGATGCATTATCCCCTGAATCGGGTCCACCATTCATTAACCCTATTTTTTTTCGGTCGGATAATTAAACCCTGATCCTGGTTCAAATAATTTAACATCTAAACGGTCCCATCATTAACCTGATCGGTCCATCATTAACCCTGAGGTCCCATCATTAACCCTGAGGTCGGATCATAAACCATGACGGTCCCTCATTCCCCTGGGTCGGATCATTAACACCTTGAGTCCCATTTCATTAACATGATCGGTTCCCATCATTAACCCGAGGGTCTATATTACCCGACGGGTCCCATCACTTAACCATGAGGTACATCATAACCTGGAGGTAGGATAATAACAATGAGGCCCATCATTAACCCTGATGGTAGGATAATTAACCCTAGGTCCATTCATTTAACAACTAAGTCCCATCATTAACCCTGAAGGTCCATTCATTAACCCTGAGGTGGTCCCATCATTAACCATGAGGTCGATCCACACCCTGAGGTCCAATCATTAACCCTGAGGTCGGTCATTAACCCTGAGGCCCATCATTAACACTGATGGGGTCCCATCATTAACATGAGGTCTCATTCATTAACACTGAGCCCGTCCCTATCAGTACCCCTGAGGTTCATCATAACTCCTGAGGTCCCATCATTAAACCACGAGGTCGGATCATTAACACGAGGTCAATAATTAACCGGGATGGTCCCATCATGAAACCCTGAGTCGGATCATTAAACACTGACGGTCCATCATTAAACACTGAGGTTCCATCATTAACCCTGACGGTTCCCATCATTAACCCTGAGGTCAGGAAATTGTTGTTTTTTTTTTTTTCATTAACACTGAGGTTCAGATTCCATTAACACTGAGGTCCATGCATTAACCCTTGAGGTCCCATCATTTAACCCTGAGGTTCCATTATCATTAACCCTGATGGTCCATAATGACACACTGAGGTTCCATCAGTAACTGAGGTCCCACAATTAACACTGACTGGTCCCATCATAACACTGAGGTCAGATCATTAACATGAGGGTCCCATCATAACCCTGAGGTCCCATTCATGTAACACTGAGGTCGGATCATTAACCCTGAGGTCCCATCATTAAATGAGGTTCCATCATTAAACCTGACGGTCCCATCATTACTGAGGTCAGATTCATAAACACTGAGGTCGGATCATAACACGGAGGTCGGATTCATAACACTGCGGTCCCATCATAACCTGAGGTCCATCATTAACCCTGAGGTCCCATCCATTAAACCATGAGGTCCATCATTAACATGAGGTCCCATCAATAACCTGAGGGTCCCATCAATTAAACCTACCCCCCCCCCTCCCTCCCCCCTTTCCTTTCTCCCCCTTCCGATTTTTTTTTCCCCCCCCCCCTGTTTTTTGCGATCCATTAGAAACACAGCTGAGCGGGACCCCTCTCCCCCTCCTTCCCTTTGCCGTCTAGGTCATTCTAATTTGCTACAACCTGATTCCTTCCGGCGCATCCCTTTCTCTTTCCCTCTCTGTTTGGGGGTCCGACCATGCAGTGATGTCCGTGGATTCTGCTGCGCCGGGGCCCGATTACATGACTGGTCGATGTTTTACTTTGCCTTGATCTTTTGTTGTCTGAGTCAAGCTCACCATGTATTTAGCTTGTCGTCGCGGTCTTGTCGTCCGGTTTCTCGGCGTTTACTTAGGTCTATGCCTTCCCCCTCTTTCTTCCCCCTCCCCCTCCCCTTTTTTTTTTTCTCTCTGGTTCCGCTACGTCATAATAGAGTCCGACTCGGCTCCAGCGAGTGAGGTCATCAACCTTGCTACCCCCTCCTCCCTTTTCTTTCCCCCCCCCCTCTCCTCTTTTTTTCTCATCTCCCCCCCCGGTCCCATTCCCCCCTCATTATTATTTACCATTTATTCCTGATTGGTCCATCATTAACACTGAGGTCCCATCATTAACACTGAGGTCGCATCATTAACCCTGAGGTCGGATCATTAACCCTGAGGTCCCATCATTATCCCTGAGGTCCTATAATTATCCCTGAGGTCCCATCATTAACCCTGAGGTCGGATCATTACCACTGAGGTCCCATCATTAACACTGAGGTCCCATCATTAACACTGAGGTTCCATCATTAACCCTGAGGTCCCATCATTAACCCTGAGGTCGGATCATTACCACTGAGGTCCCATCATTAACACTGAGGTCCCATCATTAACCCTGAGGTCCCATCATTAACCCTGAGGTCCCATCATTAACCCTGAGGTCCCATCATTAACCCTGAGGGTCCATCATTAACACTGAGGTCCCATCATTAACACTGAGGTCCCATAGGACTTAGCACTGAATAACTGAATTGAGGCTTTGGGTGCGTGTGGGTGTGTGCGCGTGTGGGTGTGTGCGTGTGGGTGTGTGCGTGTGGGTGTGTGCATGTGGGTGTGTGCATGTGGGTGTGTGTGTGGGTGTGCATGTGGGTGTGTGCGTGGGTGTGCGTGTGTTTGAATGAACAAGTTTTTAGTTCAAAAGTTGTTGTTTTAACTCTGTCTCTCTCTCTCTCTCCTCCTCCATCTCTCTCTCTCTCTAGGTGACTCCCAGTTCTAAGATCGTAGGAGACCTGGCTCAGTTCATGGTCCAGAACAACCTGACGAGAGCGGAGGTATGTATCATGTGTACCTCTGTCTAGTATTCACTATTATATTTTTGTCTGTTTATTGTTCCCAGCACCATTCTACCATTCCTGGTACATGTAAATGGTACAGGTGAATGAAGGTGATTGTGGTTATGGTTGTGCTTGTGGTTGTGGTTGTGATTGTGATTGTGATTGTGCTTGGGGTTGCAATTGTGGTTGTGATTGCGGTTGTGATTGTGGTTCTGGATGTGGTTGTTGTTGTGATTGTGGTTGTTGTTGTGATTGTGGTTCTGGCTGTGGTTGTGGTTGTAATTGTGGTTCTGGTTGTGGTTCTGATTGTGGTTCTGGTTGTGGTTGTAATTGTGGTTGTGGTTGTGATTGTGGTTCTGGTTGTAATTGTGGTTCTGATTGTGGTTCTGGTTGTAATTGTGATTGTGGTTGTGGATCTGGTTGTGATTGTGGTTGTGGTTGTGGTTGTGATTGTGGTTCTGATTGTGGTTGTGATTGTGGTTCTGGTTGTTGTGGTTTTGATTGTGGTTGTGATTGTGGTTCTGATTGTGGTTCTGGTTGTGGTTGTAATTGTGGTTGTGGTTGTGATTGTGGTTCTGTTTGTAACTGTGGTTGTGATTGTGTTTCTGGTTGCAATTGTGATTGTGGTTGTGGTTCTGGTTGTGGTTGTGATTGTGATTGTGGTTCTGATTGTGGTTCAGGTTGTGGTTGTAATTGTGGTTGTGATTGTGGTTGTGGTTGTGGTTGTAATTGTGATTGTGGTTCTGGTTGTAATTGTGGTTGTGGTTGTGATTGTGATTGTGATTGTGGTTGTGGTTGTGGTTGTAATTGTGGTTGTGGTTGTGGTTCTGGTTGTGGATCTGGTGCTGGTTGTGGTTCTGATTGTGGTTCTGGTTGTGGTTGTGATTGTGGTTCTGGTTGTTGTGGTTTGATTGTGGTTGTGATTGTGGTTCTGGTTGTAATTGTGATTGTGGTTCTGGTTGTGGTTGTGATTGTGGTTCTGATTGTGGTTCTGGTTGTGGTTGTGGTTCTGGTTGTGGTTGTGATTGTGGTTCTGATTGTGGTTGTGGTTGTGATTGTGGTTCTGGTTGTTGTGGTTTTGATTGTGGTTGTGATTGTGGTTCTGATTGTGGTTCTGGTTGTGGTTGTAATTGTGGTTGTTTTTCTGGTTGTGGTTGTGATTGTGGTTCTGGTTGTAATTGTGGTTGTGATTGTGGTTCTGGTTGTAATTGTGATTGTGGTTGTGGTTCTCGTTGTGGTTCTGATTGTGGTTCTGATTGTGGTTCTGGTTGTGGTTGTAATTGTGGTTGTTGTTGTGGTTCTGGTTGTAATTGTGGTTCTGGTTGTGGTTGTAATTGTTGTTCTGGTTGTGGTTCTGGTTGTGGTTGAAATTGTGATTGTGGTTGTTGTTGTGGTTCTGGTTCTGGTTCTGATTCTGGTTGTTATTGTGGTTCTGGTTGCTGTGGTTTTGATTGTGGTTGTGGTTGTAATTGTGGTTGTGGTTGTGGTTGTGATTGTGGTTGTGGTTGTTGTTGTTGTGGTTGTGATTATGGTTGTGGTTGTGGTTGTGATTATGGTTGTGGTTGTTGTGGTTGTGGTTGTGATTGTGGTTGTGGTTGTGGTTGTGGTTGAAATTGTGGTTGTTGTGGTTGTGGTTGTGATTATGGTTGTGGTTGTAGTTGTGGTTGTGGTTGTGGTTGTGGTTCTGGTTGTGGTTCTGGTTCTGGTTGTGGATGTGATTGTGGTTCTGATTGTGGTTGTGGTTGTGGTTGTGATTGTGGTTCTGGTTGTTGTGGTTTTGATTGTGGTTTTGATTGTGATTCTGGTTGTAATTGTGATTGTGGTTCTGGTTGTGGTTGTGATTGTGGTTGTGATTGTGGTTCTGGTTGTGGTTGTGGTTCTGGTTGTGGTTGTGATTGTGGTTCTGATTGTGGTTGTGATTGTGGTTCTGGTTGTTGTGGTTTTGATTGTGGTTGTGATTGTGGTTCTGATTGTGGTTCTGGTTGTGGTTGTAATTGTGGTTGTGGTTCAGGTTGTGGTTGTGAATGTGGTTCTGATTGTGGTTGTAATTGTGGTTTGGTTGTGATTGTGATTGTGGTTCTGGTTGTAATTGTGGTTGTGGTTCTGGTTGTAATTGTGGTTCTGGTTGTGGTTGTGGTTGTAATTGTGGTTGTGGTTGTGGTTGTGATTGTGGTTGTTGTTGTGGTTCTGGTTCTGGTTCTGGTTGTGATTGTGGTTCTGGTTGTTGTGGTTTTAATTGTGGTTGTGGTTGTAATTGTGATTGTGGTTGTGGTTGTGGTTGTGATTGTAGTTGTAGTTGTGGTTGTGATTGTAATTGTGGTTGTGGTTGTGGTTGTGGTTGTGGTTGTGATTGTGGTTGTTGTGGTTGTGATTATGGTTGTGGTTGTGGTTGTGGTTGTGGTTGTGATTTTGGTTGTGATTGTGGTTGTGTTTGTGGTTGAGACTGTGGTTGTTGTGGTTGTGGTTGTGGTTGTGTTTGGTTTGTGGTTGTGGTTTGGTTGTGTTTGGTTGTGGTTGTGTTATGGTTGTGGTGTGTTGTGGTTGTGATTGTGGTTGTGTTGTGGTGTGGTGTGGTTTGGTTGTGGTTGTGAAATCGGTTTGGGTTGTGGTTGTGTTATGGTTGTGGTTGTGTTGTGGTTGTGGTTTGGTTGTGGTTGTGGTTGTGTTTGGTTGTGTTTGTGGTTGTGGTTATGGTTGTGGTTGTGGTGGTGGTTGTGATTATGGTTGTGGTTGTGGTTGTGGTTGTGGTTGTGATTATGGTTGTGGTTGTGTTGTGGTTGTGGTTGTGGTTGTGATTTGGTTGTGTTGTGGTTGTGGTTGTGATTGTGGTTGTGATTATGGTTGTGGTTGTGGTTGTGGTTGTGGTTGTGGTTCTGGTTCTGGTTGTGGTTCTGGTTGTGGATGTGATTGTGGTTCTGATTATGGTTTTGTGGTTGTGGTTGTGATTTTGCTTCTGGTTGTTGTGGTTTTGATTGTGGTTGTGATTGTGGTTCTGGTTGTAATTGTGATTGTGGTTGTGGTTGTGGTTCTGGTTCTGGTTCTGGTTGTGGTTCTGATTGTGGTTCTGGTTGTGGTTGTAATTGTGGTTGTGGTTGTGGTTGTAATTGTGGTTGTGATTGTGGTTCTGGTTGTAATTGTGATTGTGGTTGTGGTTCTGGTTGTGGTTGTGATTGTGGTTCTGATTGTGGTTCTGGTTGTGTTTGTAATTGTGGTTGTGGTTGTGATTGTGGTTCTGGTTGTAATTGTGGTTTTGATTGTGGTTCTGGTTGTAATTGTGGTTTATTTGTGGTTCTGGTTGTAATTGTGATTGTTTTTGTGGTTGTGGTTGTGGTTGTGATTGTGGTTCTGGTTGTGGTTGTAATTGTGGTTGTGGTTGTGATTGTGGTTCTGGTTGTGATTATGACTGTGATTATGGTTGTGGTTGTGGTTGTGGTTGTGATTATGGTTGTGTTTGTGGTTGTGGTTGTGATTATGGTTGTGGTTGTGGTTGTGGTTGTGGTTGTGATTATGGTTGTGATTATGGTTGTGGTTGTGATTGTGATTGTGGTTGTGATTGTGGTTGTGGTTGTGGTTGTGATTGTGGTTGTGATTGTGATTGTGATTGTGGTTGTGGTTTTGGTTGTGGTTTTGGTTGTGATTGTTATTGTGGTTGTGGTTGTGGTTGTGGTTGTGGTTGTGGTTGTGGTTGTGGTTTTGGTTGTGATTGTGATTGTGATTGAGATTGTGGTTGTGGTTGTGCTTCAGGTGGAGGAGAGAGCTGCTGAGCTGTCCTTCCCTCTGTCCGTGGTGGAGTTCCTACAAGGACACATTGGGATTCCGCACGGAGGCTTCCCCGAGCCATTCAGGACTAAGGTAACACACACACTCACAAAGGGTGAGATGTACACACGTCACCGTTATCACAGTATCACCGTTATTACAGTATCACCATTATTACAGTACCACCGTTATTACAGTATCACCGTTATTACAGTAGAACCGTTATTACAGTAGAACCGTTATTACAGTACCACCGTTATTACAGTACCACCGTTATTACAGTATCACCGTTATTACAGTATCACCGTTATTACAGTAGAACCGTTATTACAGTACCACCGTTATTACAGTAGCACCGTTATTACAGTACCACCGTTATTACAGTAGCACCGTTATTACAGTACCACCGTTATTACAGTACCACCGTTATTACAGTAGAACCGTTATTACAGTAGCACCGTTATTACAGTAGCACCGTTATTACAGTAGAACCGTTATTACAGTAGCACCGTTATTACAGTAGCACCGTTATTACAGTATCACCGTTATTACAGTAGCACCGTTATTACAGTAGAACCGTTATTACAGTAGAACCGTTATTACAGTAGCACCGTTATTACAGTAGAACCGTTATTACAGTAGAACCGTTATTACAGTAGCACCGTTATTACAGTAGCACCGTTATTACAGTAGCACCGTTATTACAGTAGCACCGTTATTACAGTAGCACCGTTATTACAGTAGCACCGTTATTACAGTAGAACCGTTATTACAGTAGCACCGTTATTACAGTACCACCGTTATTACAGTAGCACCGTTATTACAGTACCACCGTTATTACAGTACCACCGTTATTACAGTAGAACCGTTATTACAGTATCACCGTTATTACAGTAGCACCGTTATTACAGTAGAACCGTTATTACAGTAGAACCGTTATTACAGTAGCACCGTTATTACAGTAGCACCGTTATTACAGTATCTTTCCACTATCAGCAGAAACAGCAGAATAAGTTCCTGGAAGATAACAACTAATACACAACACAGAGACACACACACACACACACACACACACATATTACACGCATACACACACACACATACACATTACACACAAACACACTGCCCACTTTGGTCAGTATCTCCCCGAGAGAGAAAGGGGTAGTACGGGAGAAAGATTTGGGGAATATTGACAGTTAAAGGGACAATCTGGGATTCAAACAACAGCAAAGTGGTCACCCTTCACATATTATTATAAAAGTTATATGCACCAATCCCAGATTTCCCCTTTTAAATATGGTGCATTTCAACACCATCTACAACTCTCCCTCCATCCCTCCATCTCTCTCTCTTTTTCTCCCTCCCTCCCTCCCTCCCTCACTCCCTCCCTCCCTCCCTCCCTCCCTCCCTCCCTCCCTCCCTCCCTCCCTCCCTCCCTCCTGAGAGAAGCAGTAGCCTCCAGTCAAAGAAGAAAATATCAAACTTTGTTGTTTGTCTGCTGTGGCGTCCCCCCTCAGAGTCACACACACACATACACACACACACACACACACACGCACACACACACACACACACACACACACACACACACACACACACACACACACACACACACACACACACACACGCATGCACACAAGCACCATGACGAGGGGGGCCACACTAGGGGAACAGGAGTTGTTTGTATTGGGGCCATGAGGTACAGTGGCTTCAGAAACACATATCGCTTTTATAGCTTTATGTACTAACTACAGTACCAGTCAAAAGTTTGGACACACCTACTCATTCAAGGGTTTTTCTTAATTTTGACTATTTTCTACATTGTAGAATAATAGTGAAGACATCAAAACTATGAAATAACACATATGGAATCACGTAGTAACCAAATAAGTGTTAAACAAATCTAAATATATTTTACATTTGAGATTCTTCAAAGTAGCCCCCCTTTGCCTTGATGACAGCTTTGCACACTCTTGGCATTCTCTCAACCAGCTTCACCTGGAATGCTTTTTCCAGCAGTCTTGAAGGAGTTCCCTCATATGCTGAGCACTTGTTGGCTGCTTTTCCTTCACTCTACGGTCCAACTCATCCCAAACCATCTCAATTTGGTTGAGGTCGGGGGATTGTGGAGGCCAGGTCATCTGATGCAGCACTCCATCACTCTCCTTCTTGGTAAAATAAACCTTACACAGCCTGGAGGTGTATTGGGTCATTGTCCTGTTGAAAAACAAATGATAGTCCCACTAAGCCCAAACCAGATGGGATGACGTTTCTCTGCAGAACGCTGTGGTAGCCATGCTGGTTAAGTGTGCCTTGAATTCTAAATCAATCACAGACAGTGTCACCAGCAAAGCACCCTCACACCATCACACCTCCTCCTCCATGCTTTACGGTGGGAATTACACATGCGGAGATCATCCGTTCACCTACTCTGTGTCTCACAAAGACACTGCGGTTGGATCCAAAAATCTTCAATTTGGACTCATCAGACCAAAGGACAGATTTCCACCGGTCTAATGTCCATTGCTCGTGTTTCTTGGCCCAAGCAAGTCTCTTCTTCTTATTGGTGTCCTTTAGTAGTGGTTTCTTTGCAGCAATTCGACCATGAAGGCCTGATTCACGCAGTCTCCTCTGAACAGTTGATGTTGAAATGTGTCTGTGACTTGAAGTCTGTGAAGTATTTATTTGGGCTGCAATCTGAGGTGCAGTTAACTCTAATGAACCTATCCTCTGCAGCAGAGATAACTCTGGGTCTTCCATTCCTGTGGCGGTCCTCATGAGAGCCAGTTTCATCATAGCGCTTGATGTTTTTTGCGACTGCACTTGAAGAAACGTTCAAAGTTCTTGAAATGTTCCATATTGACTGACATTCATGTCTTAAAGTAATGATGGACTGTCGTTTCTCTTTGCTTATTTGAGCTGTTCTTGCCATAATATGGACTTGGTCTTTTACCAAATAGGGCTATCTTCTGTATACCACCCCTACCTTGTCACAACACAACTGATTGGCTCAAACGCATTAAGAAGGAAAGAAATTCCACAAATTAACTTTTAATGCACACCTCATGAAGCTGGTTGAGAGAATGCCAAGAGTGTGCAAAGCTTTGAAGAATCTCAAATCTCAAATATATTTTTATATTTTTTGGTGATTCCATATGTGTTATTTCATAGTTTTAATGTCTTCACTACTATTCTACAATGTAAAAAAATGTAAAAATAAAGAAAAACCCTTGAAAGAGTCGGTGTGTCCAAACTGTTGACTGGTAGTGTAACTTAGAGCTTTACTGGGACTTTCTCTCACACACACACACAACACACACCACACGCACACACACACAACACACACACACAACACACACACAACACACACACACACAAACACACACACACAGGGCTTTTGCGGTGACCGTATTACCGCCACACATGACTCATGAGTAAGTAAAGTAAGTGAGTCATGAGTCATGAGGAAGTGACTCGCAGTAAATTTCCACATGGCCGTTGAGTCTAGGTGATCTCCTCTTGCACTCTGGTCTTCCATCAGGTCGCTAATGGCCCTGATACTCAGCGCTCTATTGTCCCCTCTGACCACTCCTCTGACATCAATGCAAATGCAATCGAGAATCAACATCAAACAATTATCAAAACAGTAACGTGCTTTTAAAACTCACCTCACTTTGATTGATCAATCTTATAAAGGAAGAAGTTCAACATCAAGTTGAAAACTGAGTGTGAAAACATGGTCGTTGTGGATGTTGCTTCAAAGCCTAACAATGAAATGGATAGGACTTTCTGAGGTGACGATTAATTCAAAACACCCATATGCATATTAGAGCTTATGCATTAAAATAACGATTGTGCCGTTATACCATACATAGCCTAAGGCGTATTACTCATGGCAGAAAAAAAATAACATCAAAACTAATTTAAGATGTCTTTGATACATCATTGGTCTGGCCTTTGAGTGTGGACTGTACTGGATGGACTGGTTATGCTACGCTCCAAAATGTCTATGCATGAGTCTGGGAGAGAACGTATAGCCCCTAGGCGATGCTGTTGGTTCATTGATTGTGCAGGGCGGCTTACAGGGTTAATTAACAGGTTGACTCATTACCTTTTAACTACAGAATATCTCACCACCGTGCGTTTCCATCTCCTCCTCCTCTCTCTCTCCTTCGTTCCTTTCTCGGAGAGCACAGAGAGGGGCTGTCAACACTTTAATGAAATATGTTTGGTTGTGAAAACATGTTACTATTGATGTTCCCGAACAGATTTCACTTGGTTTCCCAAATGAAGCACAGGGTAGCTGCAGGAACAGGGTTGGCCAGCCCATGGCTTACAGGGTTTGGGTGGAATATCACTATGGTGCAGCGAGAGGCTGCATGCTCCTCAAACAGAGGTTGAAGTAGACTAAAATAACCAAAGTAACCTACCAGGCAGGATGGTACAAACCAACCAGGCAGGACGGAACAAACCAACCAGGCAGGATGGAACAAACCAACCAGGCAGGATGGAACAAACCAATCAGGCAGGATGGAACAAACCAACCAGGCAGGATGGAACAAACCAACCAGGCAGGATGGAACAAACCAACCAGGCAGGATGGAACAAACCAACCAGGCAGGATGGAACAAACCAACCAGGCAGGCTGGAACAAACCAACCAGGCAGGATGGAACAAACCAACCAGGCAGGATGGAACAAACCAACCAGGCAGGATGGAACAAACCAACCAGGCAGGATGGAAAAAACCAACCAGGCAGGATGGAACAAACCAACCAGGCAGGATGGATGGAACAAACCAACCAGGCAGGATGGAACAAATCAACCAGGCAGGATGGAACAAACCAACCAGGCAGGATGGATGGAAAAAACCAACCAGGCAGGATGGAACAAACCAACCAGGCAGGATGGAACAAATCCAACCAGGCAGGATGGAAACAAACCAACAAGGCAGGATGGATGGAACAAACCAACCAGGCAGGATGGATGGAACAAACCAACCAGGCAGGATGGATGGAACAAACCAACCAGGCAGGATGGTACAAACCAACCAGGCAGGATGGATGGAACAAACCAACCAGGCAGGATGGGACA